CAAGGACACCTTAGAACAAGTCTTCAGAGAGCACCAGAAAATCGAACGAGCTGACTCGGCCAGCCGTTCAAACTACGATTACAACTCACAATCACAGAACATCAACAATCCGTCGGAAAAGCAATCGCCGCTCGAGAGCCAGATAACGAAAGTGATGGATTTACTGGACACAAATTTGGATTCCAAATCGAAGCTATACAAAGACACGTCACTGAGCTTGATTTTCATGATGAACAATGGTCGTTACATTTTACAGAAGATCAAAGGATCTACAGAGATCAATAGCTTGTTGGGTGACCCATGGTGTCGGAAGAGATCGTCAGAGCTGAGGCAATACCATAAGAGTTACCAGAGAGAAACATGGGGTAAACTGTTGTCGTGTTTGACCCATGAGGGTTTGAATGTTCATGGGAAGGTGGTGAAACCAGTCCTGAAAGAGAGGTTTAAGAGCTTCAACGCCATGTTTGATGAGATACACAAATCGCAGAGCACTTGGGTGGTGAGTGACGAGCAGCTTCAATCGGAACTTAGGGTTTCGATATCGGCGGTGGTGATTCCGGCTTACCGATCATTCATGGCGAGGTTCAGTCAGTATTTAACTCCAGGGAGGCAATCGGAAAAGTACATAAAGTACCAGCCTGAAGATATAGAGACTTATGTTGATGAACTGTTTGACGGGAATGCTACTCCCACGGGAAAAAAGAAGCCATGATCATGCTAACAAAATATCATTTTCTATGAAGAAGCTGGTGAGGTTTCCGGCACCAACACCTGAGCAACGTTGGTCCATCTTATCCCGACATTGGAATTCATATCTAATCTAATGACGATGTTAAATGATCATCGACTACATGTAATTTTGATTGTTCTTTTTGTTGATTGAATACGTGGCACCCTCTTTGTTTTCTTTTCTTTTTCTTTTTTCTTTGGGGTTATGAACGACATTGATTTGATTTTGTAATCTTGGTTAGACTCAAAGCCAAGTGAAATTTATGTTTGTAATTTTAGTTAGTCTTAAGCCCTCGTGTTAAATATTTTTGACAGATTGAGCATCAATGTCACAACTACTTGTCCATTTGCATACCTCGATATGTATAGGATGTTCGATCGGTGTGCCGGCCATATAAGAAGTCCTTCCAACAAGAATGTTCTCTAAACATTGAAAGACATGGAAGTTTCTCGCTCCTGTAAATTCATAGAGTTAACAAGTAATATTATGTTTATCAAGTTTTTTACTAAATTTTTTATTTTAAGTGATGTGCGGTGAAATCTTTATTTTTGAATATTAATGGGATCCACTTATTTGATGATAAAAACTGTGTCACATCACTTGAGATGAAAAACTTGATAAAAAATTTTGATTAGCATAGCATAACGTTATTGATTAATGGACAAAAATTTGGGTTGGGATCGATTCGATCAATCAAAATGGTTTATTAGAATTTTAAATATTAATCATTAAACTCTTATCATTGGAACAACTCTCCGGGGGATTAAGGTTGCGTTTAGGATGACTTATAAAATTTAAAAAGTACTTCTTAAATAAGTATTTCTTAAAAGTATTTTTATAAAAAAATTCTTTCATTAAATAAACACCGTTTGAATGCTCAAACAAAAAAATACTTAAATTAAAATACTTTATCAAAAAGTGCGTGGTAACAATGGGGTGGTGGGTGGTGGTGGTGGTGGTGGTGGTGACGGGTAGTGGGGGGCGATTGTGGTGGTGGTGATAGTGGTGGCGTTGGTTATGGGGTAGTGGTGGTGATGGCAAGCGATGGTGGGCGATGGTGACGGTGGTGACGGTGGTGGTGACGGGCGATGGCGACTTTAGTGGTGGTGGTGATAGTGGTGGCGTTGGTTATGGGGTAGTAGTGGAGATGGCAAGCGATGGTGGGCGATGGTGACGGTAGTGGCGACGATGGCAACTTGGGTGGTGGTGGTGGCGATAGCGGCGATGGAGGAGGTAGCGGTTGTGGTGGTGGTGATGTATTTTTAAAAAAAAAAAATTTAAGTAGAAGTTTTTTTTTTATCCATATAATATTACTCATTTCATATGTAAAGAGATAATATTGTGCTCTCTCACACACACATATATTATATTTTCATCAAAAAAATGTAACCCTTTCATTTTTAGGACAAATAAATCATATATATAATTTTTTAAGATCAATTTATGTTACATTAGGATAATTCTTCAATTATTGTAAACTTTTTAAGTTTTACTAAGATTTTGTGAGAAAATAGATTGTAATGTATTTTTAATATGATGTATAATCTATACTATAAAGTAGTATATTAAATTTTATCCAAATATACTTAACTAATACCCCAGTAATATGCTTAGTATGTTGACAATTATTTTTATTTTATTCAATGAATTATAAGTGGAATCTTAATTAAATGAATTTTAAAAAAAAATTATTTTTCAAACACCACTAAAAATCACTCTCAATTACAAAATTCTAAAAAGATAAAATTTTAACTATTTTTTAATCTTTTTTTTCTTATAATTAGAATAACAAATCTTGAGAGCATACAAAATTTTATAATTATATAATAAAGTATAAATGATGAAAAAATAAGTTTGATAAATTTAAGATTATATTTAATTTTGTATACATATATCTAACTTTTTATTAATTTTTATGTACGAAAATTATTTATTTTTACGCATGCGGTGCATTGCTAGTTACTTCTAAAAGTGACTTGAGGAGAAAAACTTTTAAGTTCCTTATTTGGTCTTTAGTAATTCTATAATGTCAAACATATCATATCATCTTATATTTAACTCTTAGACTCTTTCATTTCTAAGTGTAAAGACTCTTGACCTTCTATTTTATTTATTCAGTATTATCTATTTTTAAAATTTTAAAACATTACTCATTTAAAATTTTAAAGACCACTATGTATCATTGAATAACTCTATTAACTACTACATTGAATCATACTTCGCCACCTTTTTCTATTCCCCATTTTTTCCCCTTCATTTCACAATATAACATATCCATGGCAAACAGCCCTTCAGTTGGGGTGATTTCCTCCCAAGTGACCTCTTTATTCATGGACTTCTCTTATAGATTTCCTTTTCGTTTCATTGGATTTTTTTCCTTTACTTTTATGGGGTTCAATGATTTCAAGATAAGATATCTGGAGCTACAATTGTTGATTCATTTGACATCTTAAAATCATAAAGCAAATCCAATGTGGTTTACAAACCTTGGCAAAGATTGTATCAAAGACCACAGTCTCTCTCCGTCAGTATTTATAAATTTAGATACCATTTTGCTTTGAATTGCTGTACTTTTTTTTATGTCCTTAGCACAATTATTTGTTATTGTTGAGGATTTAAGGTATATAATATTTTTTTCCTAATCTCTCTGATTTATGTAGTCCCAAACATGAGCCTACTTGAGCATGTGTAGAGGACAACTTGGATTCGCAATTTATCTATATACATTTATCGACTATATGCTGAGATATGGATGTCACTGTTATCCAGATAAGCAATATCAATCATCAACAAGGATTGTTTTAGGTCGGCCCTGTACACAGCTTAAGGATTTTAGGAATTGAGAAAATAATGGAGCCCTCCAACATGGCACCAGAGAACTTGGAAAAGGATCCAAGAACTTCACAACCCATGGCTAGTGGTGCTCAAACTTCTTATAATGGATATAGTTGGAAGAAATATGGACAAAAGCAATTTAAAAGAAATGAGTACACACCAAGTTATTACAAATGCACACACCTCAGTTGTCCAATGGAAAAGAAGGTTAGGCGGTCATTTGATGACAGATAATTGAAATTGTCTACAAGGGTAAGCACAAACATTCAAAGTCTCTTAAGTGCAATACATCTGGGAAACAAGGGCAAGGGTTTGTATCTGATGTGACTGTTCAAGAAACACTAGTTTGCAATCTCTAAAGTGTAATTCAATTCTCTATAAGAAACTAACTAATCCATGTATGTAACTAAATTGGTTTAGCAACAAGTTTGTGAATTCATATCACTCAGTATCACTAATCTCTTTTTGTTTTCTTCTTCGTGTGGCTATGGTGTGGACGTTGTTGATGGACCTAATTGACGAGGGTGAATCACTCAAATTTCGAATGTAATTGTGGGATTGTCGATTTGTAGTAGTAAACAGGTTTATTTATGATTTTTCTTTTTGACCACATTTGAAGTTTTTCTTATTGTTTCTAAATAAAAATAAAAAAAATCCAGCATTTCATATGTGCATACATAAAAAAAAACACAAAGAGAAGCTTATAAGAATGATTTATTATAGAAACACTATTTAGACTCGTATCTTCATCTCCATACATAAATACAATTGCGAAGGTCTCAATACAAATTAAAAATAAAAAATCTCCATTTATTTTATCTAATTTGGTCCTTGTTGATAATTATTAGTCACAAAATTCATGATGTAATTTTAAGTTCACAAGGTGTAGATTGATCCTATAAATTTTTTGTAAAATTTATTGTGTGTTTAGTTCACAAGGTTATGTTGTTCTCAAAGAATGTTCTTGGGTTAGAAAGAAAAAGAATGGAGGAAGAGAAAAAATAGTACAAGTTGGGTAATTTTGTCAATTGTTTTAAAAGGTTTAGAAGGTAATAAGGGTCAGGTTATATATACACAGCTATTAAGAGTTTATATTCAATCTAGAGTACAACATAATTTTTTAAATTATAAAACTATTTTCTTTCTTAGGAAAAAAAAAAGTGTTTAGGTTTTTGAAGAAAAAATGTTTGCCTGCTAAACCATATTTGCCATCCATTATAGGTCATGATATCCTCAATTCATCAATCCCACAAGTGAAAATATAAAAAACAATTGTAGGTCGACAAATTTGAGAATCTAAATTTTCTACAAGAATAAGTGCAGGAATAGTGTAGAACATATTTCTTGTTGGAGATTATAAGCTTTTAGTATACAAGATTTTCTTCTCTTTTTTTTCTAAACTATAGTATAAATGATTGATTGGCTAAAAAAAAATTTTTATTTTTTTTTGAGATTGACCGGTCTTAAATTTTTAATACTAAAATAAGAATGCAACATTTTGTATGATTATGCACAATATAAGCAAAAGACTCCAAATGCATATCACAAAAGAATAAAAAAAATAGAACAAAAATATAGATTAAAAAAGACTCACGTGCAACGCACGTGAGTACTAACTAGTAAATTCTAAAAGTGCTTCTGAAAAATTATCTCAAATACACCCTAAAACACAGGTTTATTTGCAAGTCAAAGTTAAAACACATGTTTGGGGGGGGGGGGGGGGGGGACAATTGGTGAATATTTCCATCATTGAATATTTAATGAAACTCATTTATTTGATAGTAAAAATTGTGCCACACATCACTTGAAATGAAAAAGTTTGTAAAAAATCTTAATCAACATAACGTTATTGAAAAAAAATGAATTCCTACTCCCTGAATAATGACTTGACTCCCCTGAATTGGTGAATATTTCCATCATTGAATATTTAATGAAACTCATTTATTTGATAGTAAAAATTGTGCCACACATCACTTGAAATGAAAAAGTTTGTAAAAAATCTTAGTCAACATAACGTTATTGAAAAAAAATGAATTCCTACTCCGTGAATAATGACTTGACTCCCCTGAAGAACAAGAATAATTAGTCGTTAAGAGGTGTAAAAAATATTGAATTTAAAATTTCTTACTTGTAAAAGAACAGACTCGGCCACTGAACCATGTTGTTGAGTGTTTTGTTGATAGTGCCTTTCCTGTATGTATCAGATAAAAATTTAAATAACTTTATTTTAAGATCACATACTTGAATGAAATTGTACATACAAAAGACATGTACATTAGACTAATTGCACTGTGACATAACATATGCTGCTTCTTTCTTTTTTTTTTGTTCTTTTGCGATATGTCATCCGTGACATTTCGAGAAAATATTCAATGTAACAGTAACACTATTTTATTATCATCACGTAGTACCATTCTTTAATAAAAATATTACAAATGAGCAAATAAATCTCACATATTTTAATAACCACCCCTTCCATTTCATTTGGTAATTGCTCTATATAAAAAAATGGAGTTTACTTTATCTAATTAATTATGTTATTATTAAATGGTAACACTATGTAACATTAATGATATAATGTTACTATTGCATTGAATATTTACTCAACAATGGGGTCCTCTATAAGAAAAAAAAAATATTTATAACGTTAACACCACATCATAGATCATTTTTAAGTTAATTGAGACCAAATGGAATTTTTAAGTTTTTTGTGGAGCTCATAAGAGGAGTAAATTACCACATTGCTCTGAAAGAACAATGCTATTTTATTTAAAATAATGACATGGTTTATAGATCATATCAATTAGGTCTCTGTATATGATAGAATTTATCATCAATTTAATGATTATAATTAATTAAATTAATGGACATTTTAGGGAAAATTTTAGTCACACCCTTTTTAGTTTATCGTATCTTTAAGGATATTCCTTCTATTTTTTGAATTTCACTGATATGACCTGTCAGATTAAAGGTGTTGATTAGAATATAATTTTATTAAATTGTCTATAATATATTTTAAGAAAAACTTCATTCATACTCCCTCTAGATAGACATATTTTTAATGAAACCTCCTCTATTTTCTAAATGTTTTTACGTATTAAAATTCAGATCGATTAAAATTCGATTTGAACTAATTAAAATTTGAGTTGATTAAAAATTATATTTTTTTACTTATTAAAATTTAAACCGAATAAAATTCTATTCAAAGTTTAAATCAAATTTTAATCAACTAAAATTAAATTTTAATGGGCCCAATTTTTATACATAAAAAAATATAAATTTTAATTGACTCAAATTTTAATACGTAAAAAATAAATTTTAATAAACTTGAATATAATTTTAATAAAAAATATAAATTTTAATCAGGGCTAACAACTCAAATAGAGCTCGAATTTTAATACGTAAAAAAATGTTTTTAATAGGTTCAAATTTTAATATATAGAAAAAAAAATGTTAATCGGTTCGAATTTTATATAAAAAAATTGTTTGAGATATATGTATGGGTAATTTTGACATCTGAGATAATTTATTTTTGTGATAAACGGTGGTTTAATGGTAAGGACAATGAATTATGTTTAAATATAAAATAAAAAAAACTGTAAGGATGTTTTTGATAACAGTGGGGTGTCTTTAAAGATATGCTAACTTAGAAAGGGTGTCGTTGAAATTTTCCCGACATTTTATGTTCGGTATAAGTAGCATTTTCCTTTTCCAATGGAATGATGGCACATTTGGGGTGCGGCTCCTCTGCTGCTAGGAGGGAACATCATTGTGTATTTTTAGCCAAAAAGGCCACCGTTTAGCCATTTTTCCATAGCCATTTTTCCACAGTACTACATTGTCCTCCAAAATTGGCCTCGATATGGCATTGTTCTACTTACTCTATCAAAATAAATTTTTTTTTCCAAAAATTGGTCACCAACAAGTTGACACTATGGCTCTGATTTCCTTAAAAATATTTGAAATGAACAATCAAAATTGGGTCTTGATATTCACGCAAAAATTTGCACCGGAGTCTTGATGTTCACCATTACTGCTGCTTAAGTTTGTTAGTGCTACCATTCAACAGAAATTTGTGCGTCTTGATTGCCGGCAAAAAATCGATTCGTTCTTGAATTTAACCTACAACCTCCTTGCTACGCCGCCTTCGTATTCAACTGCCAACCTTCTCATCTCTCCCTCTTCATTGCCGTCAACAATCGGAGACAATGATAACAATAATGCTCCCCACACCCAGTTGCACAGACTTCACCAACTGTTTGATAAAAATGAAGAACAAGAAAGATGGAAGTTCGATTATTTCGAGGATATCATTCAAGAATCAAACAGTTCATAGACTTGAACTAAGTTAAGAAACAAAATGATATAAAGGAAGAGAGTTGGTGGTTTGATTGTTCTTTTACCTTTTATTTCTTCAATACTTGCTTCATTTTTACGGGAAAAATAAAAAGGAGTTAAGAGAGAGAAAGGGAGGAGTATGAAGGCAACCGGCGGTCAACTTTATGAAATGGAGGCTAGTGAGAGAGACAGAGGAATCGGCGACTTCAGTCACCAGTTGAGTTCTTGCTCATTACTTAGTCAGTTTTGAAATAAAGAAATTACTTGTAATAAAGTAAGTAGAACGACGTGGTATCGAGGTCTATTTTGGGGGACAACAACATATTTTGAGAAGTTGGCTAAACGGTGGTGTTTTTGTCTAACAGCGCACAATGCTGTTTCCTCCTAACAGCAGAGGAGCCGCACCCGGCACATTCGGTAGCCATTTGTCCATGTGAATTCTCCCGACAGTTGCAGAAGTTAGAAAGAGAGAGAGGAGGAGGAGGAACTTTGGGAGAGAGATTGTGAGGACGAACCAGTTCGTAGGTTTTGGCTTGCAATGGCGGATGGTTGCTCCAACTCTCCCCAAGTTATTGCCAAAGAGTTAGTCCTCTGCTGCTTAAACATATTTCTATCCACTGTGCTGTCTGTGTTGTTAATGGATGAATCCTATTTAGAATATGTTATGGTGACTTATGGTCATTGCTGTCTGTGCTCTTCAGTCTTCAACCATGTCATTTTTGGTTCAATTTGACCTATTTTCTATCATGAAATGGTCTGTAAAATTGAACTGATTTTCATAGAGTTATAGGAGTTGTGTTTAACCTGTAATTCATAGGGACTTAGGGATCATCTACCGTATATGGGCGCATGGTGGATTCCATGAGTATTAATGATAGATCATCTATTATGGAGTGAAATTGTAATGGAGAGGATTTAGATCCAATTCATAGGGGAGTGCATAGTTTAGGAACAACATCTTTGAATTATTTATCCCTAAATCCTAAAACTTTTTTTAAAATGCTTTGGTCTAATTTTAAGCCAATGTTAAAATGACGGAAGAATAATTATATAAGATATGGTTTCGGCCAATCTTAATGGTAATAATTCCTAATAGAAGTTGAACTGTGTATGTAAATTTCATGAGTGCGCTCTAGTAATTAACAGAAGGCAGGGGACTTGTGATGATTGAGAAGAAGAGAAGAGCCTAGGTAGCTCTCAATCTAATAGGCAAGGAAGTGTACAGTAGTGTAAATCGATTATGCCTTTACCTGTGTTAGGTGGGAGAAAGGATGTGTAATGGATTTCCATTCAGTATTTGTTCAGTTTTGCTCCAATAATATCATTGTTATCTTGTTTAGTTTGTGCTCGGCTTTCAAATTGGCAAGTTAATTGTTAATTTAAGTTATTATTATTGGTCAGGACAGTGGGTTTGCAAACATTCTTATATGTCTTATTGTTGGAAATCTGATGTATATTATTATAGTATCAAGAGGTCTTAATCGAAGGTCAAAGGGAATTTGGGTTAGATATCATTTACAAACCCCTTGGAATGGATGAGAGAATGTTAAAAATTCATGCTTAAGATGAAACAGTTTCACATGTTTAGAAACTAGTAGTATGTGGATTCATCCAATTTTGCAGAATTAGAAACCGGAAGCATCTAGACCCGTGGAAGTTGTTTTTTACCACTGACTTCACTTTGGTCTCCATTGTGGTATAGACTCAGGTTTTTCTACTTTTCTCAACTTTCCATTGTGGCGCTCATTAGTCAGTACCGGACGCAAGTAGGTGCAACCAAACATTATGATATAGGGCAGATATTTAGAGGCAGTTCTGTTCAGAGTTGTCCATCTGTGAGTAGTAAAAACATCATGTGTACCACTTAAATAAAATGTCTTGAGAATTTGCATCTATGTTTGCCTCTAATTGGGATACAGATAGAAAAAAAGTGGAGTATACAATAAACTAGTTGGTAGTCTTTTGCTTGAATAGTACAACACTCTAAAATTATCATGGCTACATATACCCTCTCTAACAATTTACTTTTTACACCTTTACATTGAGACACTGTTGGGAATTCCCTTCCCAGTAAGTCCGCCGACTTTACTGTTATCCGTTGTGTTAGGATAGAGCAATGTGTAAGGCACTTTGACAGGCCCAACTCGGTTCTTCCATCTCTTGTCATTATTTCTATCCATTATTCTGTTTTCGATTTCTACCAAATTTCTTCCAAATCTTTCAAATGCCTCCCGTGGTTCAGCATCAGAAGTCCATTCAGCAGTGTCTCTCTGCCCAAGATAAACCTCTTCGGAAGAATGACGGGACAAAACTTCTATAAGAGACACACCAAGCAGGGTTTGGAGCTGGCTTGTGATTGTTTTCAGTAAGGCCCCCTCAGGATTTGACTCAAGCTCAGCATACTCAGGAGTGCCTGGCTCAGGCATGAAGCGACGGCTTATGGTTGGGCGGTTTGGAAGGTAGCCAGCATAAGGATACTGCCCGAAATTGACAGCAGCATGTAGAGCAGAAGCCACCCATATGATAATGGTGCAGGTTTGGATGAGTTCATCTCGTGTCTGCATCTCAGGCCACCATGACTCATCTTTCTTGTCACCATGGCCCACATTGCGGAGCTCTGTCCACCATGATTGGAGTTCAGAATCATCTTGGATCATGACATCTGTAGGGTAATAGAAAGAGCAATATTCTCTGACCCAGGTTTTGATTGCAGACCAGATTTCAAGCCCATCAACTGCATAGGGATAATCCTCTATAAGAAGTTTGAGGCCATGCGGCTTACTTGAGTCTGGAACTGCCATTCCTCTTCAATAAAGCAAATGGAAACAAATTCCATTGTTAGGAGAGATTAAAAATTGAGGACACCACTGTTATTCATAGCTTGGTAACTAACCTTTTGAGCAGATCAGTAGGAAGCGCTTGATCTGTGAAAACCCAGCTCTTATAAATAACAGCAGACATTTCCATGGCAAATTTAGCAGGGAAGACTGTTATCTCAAGTACCCCACCTGCATTGATGAGGATATGCCGAGCCAAGGCATTTATATTCATTGTATCACGGAAATGAGGGTGAAGAAGCTTATGTATTGGGTGAAGGACACTTAATTGTCTGTTTGTTGCAATCACAAATGGCTCTATTACTGCATGAGTGTTTAACCTGCAACCAAAATTTGATATGCATTCTTAAGTATAGTGAAACCTGTAAACATTGGATTAACTGTGCAACAATTTCATTTTTAATCTTTTAAACATACCAGTGGCTAATGAGCTGATGATAGCCAGAATCATTAACAGCAGCATAAGCTTTGGCTAGCTGCCACAATGATCCATCAACTCCATGCTCTGCTGGAGTGAAGACTTGGCTGGTGGCACCATTTTTGTCTCCTTCTGGATGTGGTAAGCTCAACTCAATTGCCAGTGGCTTCAATGTCCCGTCATTCTGGAGTAAGAGAAGTGTTCGAGTGGCATAGGTCTTCGTGGTAGTCGTGTTGATGCGTCGCAGGTATGGCGTAAGTGCATCATGATGATCTAATATGAAGAGCTTTTTATTCCTAAGTGCCTGTAAGTGCACAAAATTTAAAAGTAAATATAAAAGGTCTGATTCCATGTGTAAGTTGTAACACAAAACATTTTATTGACATGAAGCATCTTCTCTTTTTCCCCCCTTCCAAATTTCTAATTTAGAGAGTAATACAATGAATCAGGAATTGTACTTCATCTACAGTTAAGCCATTCATATTCTTCTCAATATGCTGCCTTTTGATTGTACTGATTTGATTGCCGTATACTTCAGGATCTAGCTTGCTAGCAGGTGGAAACTCCTGGTTGGTGGAAAATCAGGAAATGTTCTCATCAGAAACCAGAATCCCTTGACAGGTAATATATGGAATGAGAATTTTGTTTTACCTGGAGGCGACGGATGACAACAGGGTTTATTCCAGCGAGCATTTCCCTCCCAAATTCTTCATCTGTCCTCCAGGCAGACTTATCCTCTGCAATTATCCAATGATACTTATAATCTTTGTTAATAGGGCTCTAGTTTATCATTAAGGCTCTTAAGGCTTCAAATTATCAAGAAATGAAAAACTTTAGGACTCTAGTTTGTAAAGGCATAGTGCATTAGGGAAGTTTTTTATATACCTTTGATTACATCGGGCATCGGGAGTTTGAATAATTGCTCACCATCATTACGAAGGAGTTCCTTGAGCATCTCCCATGGGACGCATTCCCTGAGTTTAGTTAGTGACTGCCCATCTGGTAGCTTAACCCCACCTTCATAGAGCTTAAGTACATCTTGGAAACTGTCAAACTCATTAAGAGGCTGGTTAAATGAAGTAATTGCTGGAATCAATATCTGCCCTAGAGATTTCAAAGCATAGGCAAGGAAATCTGAAAACTTCACATGACTAAACCGTTCATCTCGTGGAACATAAATGTCTAAATTCAGAAGTGGCAATCTGCTTTCAGTGTTGGGATCTGCAAAGATGATAGAAAAATGAACTGTTGATTAAAAATCATAAAAACTAGGTACTGCCTAAAAAGTACAAGTGAGTACATTGAGTGCATTTAAGGATCAACATACATTATTCAATAACAGATACTGAAACAAGAATGACTAAAACGGCCTAATATGAGTAGTTGTGGTCATCAAGTGATTCTAAACAATAGCTGGTTTTCTGCTTCTAACCTTTTTTCGTTGGTGGGCGACCTGTTCTTCCTCGTCTGGGGTATGGGAACTCCTTAGATCCACCAATCACAGGACGTGCATATTCTGGTCCCTTGTCTGGTCTTCCCAAATCATTGTAGTATGCATAGTCATATACTCTGTCCCACTCCTTGAGCATGCCAGATCCATTTCCACGAAGGTTATTGAGTTCTTCTTCCCTATACTTGCGTAGTGGTTCTGGAGTGTTACATGGTATGTAGGTCTGACAACAGAATCATAATATTGTAAGTCAGTGTGCTTAGTTCTTGTCTTAATCCATAATATAACAGTAAACCCAAATTTGTTGGGATTCATTTCTGGACAAAGGTCACATTTATCTCTAAGTTCACTTACATCTTGTCAAAATCATCATATGGACAACTATGTAGGACCCCATTGTGGCAATGTAATATGATGTTGCTTTAGGAAAAGCATGATAATAGGCAACTTCCAATTATTGATGAGGATAAACAGAGGGAACATCATGATATGAAGTTTATTATATATGGGCCATATGTATTGCCACAAACAAAACATAAAATAGGGAATGGTGTTCTAGTATCCTTGCTGGTATTATCATTGCTAAATTACCATAAAGCATCATGTTCACCTCTAAAATATTCAGAGTCCTTTCGATCATAGATGAGGATAGTCAAAACTGAGATATAAGCTTGTTTAATAGTATGTTTTTTTTTATTAATAAAATAAATCAAATGAAAAAGTACCTTGTTTGCAAAGAAGACCCGATTGTAGTTGTAACGATGAGCTGGATAAACCCAAGAATTACAAATGAAATGGATTTGACTGTGTCCAGGAACGTCTTCTAAGGTTACTGTCTTGAGGTAGAACTGACTGTGATGGTGATTTTTTATAACGAAAGCACCAGGAACACCCATGGACTCGTCCCATTCAAATAGAATGTTGAGTGTAGCATCTCCAGCCGATACAGCCAGAGGGGTTGAAATCCATTTTCCCAAAGATACTGCTTTTCCAAGCTTTCCTCTTAACCCATTTGCTAATAACATAGGCGAAAAAATTTCAGTTTCAAAAGAGATTGAAATCTTCAAATATTTTTTGAATTAAGAAAACTCATCTCTATGTTATTGGGTGAATAACTCATCTGCTCTATTTGGTTGCAGGTAAGACATAGAAAAAGAAACATCAAACAAAATGTAAGGCTCTTTTACTCAGTCCCTTTGGTTTTAATTGAAAATTTCAGCTTTATGTTTAAAAAAAAAAAAAAAAAACTACTATAATAGAGATAGAGAGGGGTGCTGACCAGGGTCGCCATGAACAGCACTGATGAGTTGAATTGAGACACCTTTCCCAACGAGTTCATACATCCGATCAAGAAGAGAGGCACCCCAATCATTCAAGTCCAAAACATTCTTCTTCATCAAATTTACTGTCCCTTTGATCTTCTTAGTCTCACTGTTCTTGTTTTCTATGGACTTGTTTCGGACCTTTCCACAAAGCATTTCCACTGTTTTCTGCAACATCTCTGAACAGGGACAGTACCCCATTTGAACAACCGGAATTAGATTGAAAGAGGGTATGAATTGGACTGTGATTAGGAAGATGGGTATAAATAAGAGAAACGCTTATTGGGTTGAATGGGAATGGTAGGTGTCTGCTGTCCGGAGGAATATGATCATGTTCTTAGCTTATGAAGACCAAGCTGTTTTATACACCAATTAGACTCTGTTCTATGATGCACATTTGAAACATAACATCATGGTGGGAGTAAGAGGGAAGTTTCTTTATTTTTGTCTATTTATTAAAGAAAAGTTAAAAGGATTAGATTCCACCTGGACCTGGCCCATCATCCTTCCTGGCTTTTTAGCTAAAATATGTTTAAGGCTTGTTATGTATGGTGTGTGTGTGTTTGTTTTTTTGTTATGTCTGTTCGTCCATATTATCTCCATGATAAGTTGGATTAAGCATTGACTTACATTTTCTTGTCCTGTTCTGCGTGGGCTTTGAAAGACTGTGGCCTTCAGCCAATCAGCTCACTCTCTCTCTCTCTCTCTCTCCCCCCACCCCCCAACCCTCACACTAGAAAAAAAAACCCCAAAAGCCAAAACCCTCTACACCCACACCGACACACCCCAATGGGGATCGAAATCCACTCCAATAAATTTTTTCTACTATTTTTTTATTGTCGTGCATTTATGTGAGACTTAATGTATACGAGTAAATTTTTCACTCATTAATGATAGATGATACATTAAGAAAGAAATTAAAAGAAAAAAGTATTAAAGAGGATATGATCCCCAAAAGTTCTAATAAATTTTGAAAGAGATGTGGCAGACGCCAATATGGTACTCATGTCATTTTACCTGAGTCCTGAAAGAGATGTGGCACTTGTCTTGATTGATTATTTCACCAACCTACCTAGTCGATTGTAAAAGTGACCAATTTTTCTTACTGTAGAAAAGATCCAAAACCCCCTCTCTCTCTCTCTCTCTCTCTCTCATATAACAGCCAAGAACTCTATCAGAAGCGTATCTGAGAAATGGTTGTTGGTAAAGACAAATGAGCCTAATTTATGGCTCACCCTTTTGAGAAGAAACCATAGAAATAAACATTGGAAAGAAAAAAAAACACAATTACATAGGAAAACAAAAAATTTGTGGGACTGGCTCCATGTTCCCTTGATTTATTTCCATATTCAGTTGATACCCTTTGTCTATTTGTTAAAGGTCTCTTGATTAATTTTCAATTGCATTGATTTCTTTTGATTGCTTCTAATTTTTTCATTGGATTCCCCTAGAGAATCCAGCCTATAATTGTGTATGTTTATGTGCAGACGTACGTATGTGGATATATAACAAGAAATCATAGAATGTTTCATCTTTCCTACCAAACCGACCATTGGTTTCCTTTTCTTGAATGAGGCAGAGATGGTGAATTTTTGTTTTCCCTCTTTGGTCCATGACATTTGTGGCAAGTAGGGGCTTATCTATCGGCGTTTTTTGCTTGGGTTTTTTTTCCTTTCTCTCTTTCTTTTTTTTTTTGGTGGGGGAGACGAAAGCCCGGTGCATTGACAAGGATTCCAATATGGAAAAGATTCCACTTGTGAAGGGGTGGACATCGATTCAAAATGCCTCCCCTATTCCTTGTGGTATTTCTTAACTTGGATCGAGGTTTGCAAAGTCTAAAACTTGAGCATGTTTTGGCTTTTAGGCTTTGCCTTAGAAGGAGATTCCAAAAAATTATTTTGTTTGTTTTTGTTTCCTCTCTCATGAATTGGCATGTCCATGGCCTTTTTTAAATGCAAGTGACCCTTTTCTTCAAACAGTTGGAGGACAATTGAATTGACTATGGGTGGTCAGATTTCACCATGGTTGTCTCCTTTGTGGACTAATTTCTTTAATGTGCATCTGATACATACCAGCTTTCCAACTCATCAGATAAAGTGATCAATATGCAAGGAGAATATTCTGACTGGCAAATGGTATACAATGGTACTTTTTCTTTAATGGGAGTAGATTAACCTTTTCCTATCTATGAGCTACAGATAGATGGATAAGGCTGTGGTACTGTAATAAAAATATTTTTTAGATTCCATAGTTAGGCCATTTATACCTAATCGAATTTGGAGAGTTAGCTAGTGTTCTCATTCATTGCAGTGATACATTATGAGTTTAAGCTCGGGAATCGAGTACACAGTTTTGTAGCATCTGTATCCGTTAAATCTCGTGATAAACGATAATTTTCTGACTTCTGCACTAGATAGGACTTGTTTTCAAGCAAGGAATACCATGCTTTACTTGCCGGTCATGGATGGAATCAAGGGAAAGATGAGCATTGAGAAAAGTTATGAAGAAAAATGACACTGGCCCGAAGGCTAAACCCACCGACCCCCACCCCCTCCACCACCCACACTGTGAAACAAAGGTGAGGATGATGAAGTTAAAAAAAACTTAAAGGTTGAGGGGGGGGTCTCTTGAATTTATTCTTTACTTGAAGAGGGATTAAAGGATATTATGATTAGAGTTGATAATAAGTATGGAATGATCAAAAGCCTTGACCTTTATGCAGTGTACTAAAGAAAAAGAAAAGAGAACATGAAAAGTTGGAGTACAGAATTTTTGTGGCCTCTGGGATACCAACAAAGCCTCCTTGGCAATGGAAGACTTTGTGCAATATTTGAGTTTGTAGGACTAATTGTAAAATTAGATGTTTTGTGTTTAAATTTTGTCAATTTTTTTTGGCAGAGATTTATTTTTTATAAATATTTTAATCTTAACGTGGATGATTTGCTTTTGACCGGACCGAAGAGAATTAATCGAATTATGCGTAAGTTGGTTCAAATATTCTTGACTTTACAATACTGAGGTCAAGTTTTATTTTATTTTTTTGTGTAATTTACAACTACAAAGTGCATAATCTTTTTTTCTTTTTTTTTGGGAAGGGGGAGGGAAAAGGGGAAAAGGGCTTAAAACCTTAACATTAAGAAGACAAAACTTTTACAAGGTAAAGAGTACCATTAGACATAATCGATCCTAAATACTTCTCATTAATCATGAAAGTTATAACTATAAAGAAATATGTTACAACTGATTGAAGTAATAGATCACAACATTACATGATCGATTATAAATTACTTAAAAAAGTTATAACTTCATATTTAAAATTTATATAACTTAACATTAGAAATGATAACTTTTAGTACAGTATGGAATTTATTTTTTGGGGATGGTACAATAGTGTTATGTCGAAATTTATAATTTTTTAAGTTTAAGTTATACCTTTGTAAGGCTGAAATTATAACTGAAAAAGTTATTGAAATTACAACTTTTAAAGGTAAATTTATTATTTTTTTAGATTTAGTTATACATTTTAAAAGTAAAGTTATAATTGATTAGGGGTATTTATGATCGATCACAAAATTACTTCAGAAAAATGAGTAATTTAACTTCAAAAAATAGTAATTTTTGAAAAGGTACGATTTATTTTTTTGGGTACTGTAAATTTATACCAAATTTTTGAAGTTCGAAATGTTTGTGCGCATGCATTATGCATATACATGGAGATGTGTGCCTCAATTTGCAAAAGAATATGCGTTTGTGCGGAGTGCAGAAACTGCCGTTGTTTTTGCATACAGTCTGCACTCTCCAGTGTGAACACTATTAGAAAAATATTTTATTCCTTCCTCAACACAATCAAATTGCTTCAATATTCACAGCTGTAGAGGATTTGTTTTGGTAATTAAAAAATAGTTCACTCAATAAAATACAAAGACCTATTACTTAAAAAATAGTTTTTGTTGTATTGTCTCAGTAATTAAAAATTTAATCATATAAACTTACGAGGTTAGCGATTGACCTAATGACCACTGACCTATTGTTAGAACTAGGTCACAAGTTCAAACCTCGTCGTTCTCCTCTTCTGTAATGATATTTGACCCCAAAAAAAAAAAAAACAAATCAAGCAACGACTCAACATAATCGACCCTTCTTGAATCTTTCATGAAATCATATCAATATTGTAGATTATTCCAAAAATCAATGGTAGTTTGAAGTCAATCATACAAACTTGAGGGTAAATTACATCCGGGGTTTATACAAAATAGTTTGCCCCGTAAAGTTTTATAAATTTCAAATATTAACATTCATTATTTTGTAAAATCTCTCGAGTCAAAGTTAAAAAAACAATAATTTCTTGGTAAGGAAAATTAAAAATAAAAATAAAATTTTTTATCCCCAATTTGATCTGGTCATTTTGTATTTCACTTACTTTGCTTGCAAAAATAACCATATGATCTTCGTGTAGTTTGTAAATCAAACATGATTAGATATCCATAACTATAAGTGAAAGCTCGGCAAAGTAGTTGGACCTAACCTTCCTGGCATTATAGGCATATTTCAACACTGTTGTCTTCTGATGGGCTTGGGATTTGCTTGGTCCAGTATCGTTCCAAGGGCTCTGAGGTTAGCCCATACAGAGTCCAACCCATAGCTAGCATTTGGTATTAGCACTAGCTTTTTTTCTTTTTTTCTTTTTTTCTTTTACTATTTTTTGTTAGGGACTATTACAGGGGAGGGGAACTTCCTGACGAAGTTCGAAAGCGTAATCTTAAGGTTCAACTGTAAAAACAGTGATCATTACACCGACCACTTACTTAACTCAACCCCTTCCAATACAACATGTTGCTGAAAATGTCCAGCACTTACTGGCTTCTTATGATTGTCAAAAGTAATTATGAGGTACTCATTGAGAAAAAAAAATTGCCAGTAAGAAAAAAAGGTGAGGGGCAAAGGGGTGTACTCAGATATCACCTCCATAAGCCTCACCGGTAAGATTATAAGGTTTCTAACCATGTTCGTTATTTCTCTCGAAAACAAACTTAGTTAAACTAGCATAGTGGTCAACTATTAAGTCCTAAAATAGATTCTAAGATTCAAACTTCAAACCTTAAGGTATGAAGTTCGAACGGTACTCCACTAGACCACCTCATTTGGTGGTACTCATTGAAAAATGAGTCACTCCAAAATATGATTAATAGCGGCACCTAAGGTTTTATTCCACTTCCATTAATATGAGAAAATATGCTTGTACTTGTCATTTTTATGGAAAATTCAATTTCACCATATCCAAGTTGAAGATAGCGTGAAAATCATTATTTCGTGCTGTCAATAATTAT